TCTCGAAACATTTCATTCAAAATCTATTCAAGAACAATGTGAGGAAAAAATATAAGTCTTAGTTCATTTGCTCTTGTCTCAAACCTTGTTACATCTACTGGTATGTTCAAGAGAGTGCTAGTAAAAAAGTGTACAAAATTGGTGGTTTGTAGAGATAGGGCTGGAGCACCTGGGGAATGTGTCTTCTATTCTCGATGGCCTGGGGCGATCCAGTGTAGATGCACAGCATGACTCTGAAAGGAGAAGTGAAGTCAAGAGGCAAGTGAATTCTGAATGAAGACTGCTTGGCAACTGCCGTAGTCAATCTAGAAGTCTGAACAGATTCTATCAATGTAGAAATTAATGTACGAATGCTAAGTGATAGGATTTATTTTGTCTGCATTTAGTAGGGGCGAAAGAATACAACAGGTAATTCATATAGAAATTAAATGGCTGTCACTCGCTAGAAAGCTGAAGGGCCTAAGGCTGGAGCTGAGGGAAGACGTGACTTCCAGTCTCCAGTCTCCAAGTAAAGCTTCTGTGGCAGTATCCCCCATCTCCCCTTTCCCCTTTGCCAATGACCAGCTAACTGGGAGTGTGGGAAAGTGTGTGCAACTGGTCCACTTTCTCTTTCTTCCCAGAAAGGGGCTATGCCATGAATCAAGTCTGCTTGGTGTTTGTGACCCAAGGGCTGACTGCTAATGGAATAAGCTCTAATATATAACATTAGGATAGCTACTGTCACACACAGCCAAGAAGCTTTGTCAACAGCATGGGAACTGTTCCCTCTCCTTAATTCTTGCATGTCTCATTCTAAATCCCGCAGGAAGGTATTAAATCTCTCAAGCTTCATTGACTATTTACTAAGAGATTGCAAATAAAAACCCAAGTATAGTTTACATGGGTATTTTATGCATAAATATTGGTGAAATTGAAGGTAAGTTGGTGAATTTATAACCTAGTATTAGATGAGTAAGAAATCCATTCTCATACAGTGTGGGGAGTTTAAGAGGGACAATTTGAACACTTTGGAAGCTAACCCACATAATTAGATGCACACACCTCTGAAGTAGCAATTCCACTTTTTACGGTAGCAGTCATGTACAGGGTTGTCTTATAAGTGTATTTCGAACAGCATGTTCAATGTTGAAATGTTGGACAGGATAAGCCAGAGAGATGGCTAAGCAAAATAAGACGTGTTTTGCAATGATTTAGAATGAGCAGCAACAAACTATGACCCAGTCCAACTCTTGCCTGCATTGTTACAGTAGTTCTGAACTTGATCTCCTCCTGTAGCCTCACGCACGGGCTGGGATTACAGTCAGGGAACACCGCATCTGCAAATATACTTACAGAAAAGTGTAAGTATACTTATTATATTAAGTAATTTATATCATATTAAGCAATGTATCAGATTTTTTTGTTTATTTTTATTTTTTATGTGTATCATCAGTGGTTTTCCTTGCATGGTTGTAAGTGCATCTTTGCTGTGTTACTTGCCTGTGGAAGCCAGAAGAGTGCCTTGGATCCCCTGGAACTGGAGTTAAGGGCCATTCTTAATCACCATGTGGGTGCTGAGAAACAAACCTGGGTTCTCTGCAAGAGTAGCCAGGGCTCTTAACTGCTGTGCTATCTCTCCAGTCTCTTTATTAGGTTATTTAACCACATTAAAGACGATCCCAAATAAAACCACAGGCTGAAAACAGGTACTCATATAAGGCTCATGGTAATGGATTTTTTTCACTAGTTCTGATATTTCAACAGAAGATGGAGAAGCTAGTTTCAAGAATGAGGATTGAACAATAGTAACTGGTCTTGAAATAGTGCCTCTTCTCTTCCAAAATTATTTTTTCTTAACTGACCATAAATAGCCTATCCGAGGTAAGGAACTGCAAAGTTAGAATTCTCATGCTGAATATCTTTAGCAATTTCATTTAATCCATGGGAAGTTTTCTAAAAATAATCCCCCAAATGCCTCTCCCCCAGCTAAAGCTCGTTTATAGTTTTGAGTTATGAGGAGGTAAAAATCACTGATGGCTGGATGTCATCAGTTAGCAATAATCATTTAATCCTGAATGAAGTTCCTCCTTTCTCTTCGGGAAAATATCAATGCTTATTTGTTCCTATATGGCATTTTACAGTTTTCAACATATTTTTCCATACATTATTTCATCATTCCAGTGATCTCATAAGCTGTCAAAGAAGGAATTCTATGTCTTCAAAATGTAGACATTGTCTCTAGATGTTCAATAATTTATCTACAGTCACAACTGGCAAGAGTCAAAAGATTCAAACTCTGCAGAAACATCTAAGTCTTAATTTTAGGCAGTTCAAAAATATTCATCTTTTTAAAAATTGTCTTCACTGGCAGAGAAACAGGATCTTTCCCTTGGAACAAATGGGTATCAAGTGTTTGAGATTTCTATTTATAGTTTTATGAACAGCCAAAGTTTGGAGGGGGGGGATGTGGAGGCTACCAGACAGCCTTGGGTGTTATCCTGTTATCACCTTCTTCTCTTTTTGAGACAGACTCTTCTTGACCTGAACTTGTCAAGTAAACTAGGATGGCCGGCCAGCGAACCCTAGGGATCCCGTCTATGCCTCCCTAGCACTAGATTGCTACTACACTATGCCTGGCTTCTTTTACACGGGGTATAGGGATCGAACTCAGGTCTTCATGCTTGTGTAGCAAGTGCTGTACCACCTAAGTCATCTCCCATCGAGGAGTTTTCAATGGAAACTGCCAGTGCTGGAGAAAGATCAAAGCTACATACGAAAACTTCATTATGTATCACTAGGCATACATCAGTGGCTTTAGTTTCCTAAGACCAAAATCCATCACTCCTGGTCTTTATGTTATTCTTCTTCTCCAAATATTTGAAAATAATTGGTCTGAAAGTCACATAAGGACGTTTCCTACAAGTTAACGGGGAAATCAAGGAAACTCAATCTAAAAGGCGTCAAGGATTGTTAGTGAGACCAGAAGAAACATATTTTTAAGGCAAATCTAGAAAAGAATTGTGGGCAGATGTACTTTCTTGTCCATTCAGTCCCATCCACACAGTAGCAGTCTTTCTTCAAAAATGGAGAATCTGCCTAAGTCCACAGGACACAGTGTAACTAAGTACTTAGGATGGCTTAAAAAACATGAGTGAAGGCAGAGTTCAAGAAACTGAAATTGGATGTTCTTGAATATAGTGAGACCCCTTAGTGATCCTACAGTGCAGTTTGTTCCTAAATTAAAAGGAAATATGGAAAGACCCTCTTTTATGTCAGTATACACAGAAGAGATAAAATTAACATAAATTTAAGCCTGATTAACTGTGGAATATATTTTTAATGATCTGTTCCCTAAAAACATAAACTTTCTTGTAAGTCCATCCTCTTAGTAGTCTGGGACCAAGGCATGGCCTACTGGTGCAACAGTATTTGTGCATCAAGGTGAAGGTAAAAATTCTAAGATAGCTTCCTAGAGATAAAACATTAGTAAACTGATGCTGAGACATTTAATTTGTACAGAAATATGAGAAGTCTCAAGTCTGAAGGTCAAAGGGAATGAAGTCCTACTTTTTCTGAAATGTCAGTGTTCATTTCTTTCCCAAATCTTCCCATGTCTGTGGAGCTTCTCTGACCTGTCCTTGTCCTCTTACATTTTCCCTTCCCCTAATTTACAATAATTGGGGAAACGCATAGTTTGTCTTTTTAGAATTACATGACCTTGCATTCACCTATATACTTCTGGCCCTTAAATGTTGAAGACTGTGGCAAAATAGGAAAAAAGTTCAAGCCAATGAATCAGGAAAATCAGGTCAGGTAGAAAACTGAGCCCAGTTCTTCTTCTTTTTTTTTTTTTTTTGTGACTATAGATAAGTAATCTTTTTTTGTTTTTTTTAAAGGGGGGGGTTCTTATTCAAAATTTAGACTTTATCAGTATGTTAGTAAACTATAACTTGCTATGTAATAGGCCTTTTCAGACTTTTCCATATCTTAAAGAATAAAATTGAAATGGATGAAGATCCCTAGATCATTCAGCTGCTCAACTTCCCAATTTTTTTTTTTTTTAAGCTGACTTCCTCAAGCCAAGATGTAGAGAATTGCATTTGCTTTATCTCCCAAGTCTCCCTTAAGGGAAAGGCTCCTCCTTTCCCTGCAGCTGACTGAAGCCTAATCCATGTGTGTATTCCTCACCAGCTTTTTCTGTATGACCATTCTCAGATTTGAAGGCATCAGGAATTGCAAATGGTGCTATTCTAACATCCTTAAATTTATTAATTGGAATGACTGTGGGTTGTCTATAAAATTTCCCAACGTCATTATTTTCCCAAGGTCAGGCATATCGTTTCTTTTCATTCTATTCACCAGTTTTCCCAGTAATTCTTTAGTATCTTCTCAAAAGGTAACAGAATTGATGTGAGTTTTGGCTGCTTATTTTTAATATCACTTTGAATACAGACTTATATACTTAATGTATCTCAATCATCAACTTTCTTGTTCATTAAATTACTCCATCTATTCAGCCTGTGGTTCAAAATTTCTATAGTTGAATCTGGAGTTTTTTATGAAAAACTTTCCTGTTTTGGTGATTGATACTGAGGGTACTATTGCTTTTTGTTATTTTTTGTTTTGCTAGTGTTTTGGTTTTGCTGGAAAGAACATACCTAATGTATACACATGAACCAAATGATATGGCTTAGTTTGCTTCAAAGTACACTGGGACAGTAGGCTTGGGTAGGGATGAAGCAAGCTTGGCAATGCTGATAACCATGGAAGGCAGCTTAATGCTTTTATAGTGCTGTTCATTATATAACTGTCTTACATACATTTGAAAATTCCTAAGATTTTTTTTCCAATCTTTGTAGTAAGTTTAAGAAGTCACTATTACAGAAAAATAAAACATCTACCTTAAACTCAATTTACACCCAACCAAAAAGTTTCCAAAAATTATAAGGAAAGTGCATGGGGGGGGGGCAGGAAGGGACTATTTTTTACTCAAGAAAAATCTGAATAAAGAGTCTGAAAAGTATGGTTCTTAAAGTATTCTTTATTAAGATCATTAAAAGTTGCAGAAACAACTTTATATTATAAAGGCACAGGGAGACAGTTCTGATAAAATATTCAAATTAAACGGTAACTTACAGTACAAAAGACAATTTTAATGCACATACAAACCCCAAATGTTTGATTCAAAAATATTTTACTGCGTCTATTAATGGGCAATGATTAAAAATATAAATCGCTGCTGTATAATAAATATCTGATAGTGAACATCTTGATAGCAAAGTGAACAAAATATTTATTGCTTTTCACATATGTATTTTTCCCTGTAATTTTAAATTCCTAATTCTTTTACTAGTGTTTCCTCAGTCTTCTCCAAAGGTAAAAGAAATTCCACATCATCTCTCAGGGGAATGGTAGTTATACCCGAAGCAGCCATCAATCCTCACTTCCTCTTCTGCAATTGCCAGCCACAATCACACACCCAAACATAAGATGATTTTTGCTAAACCACAGGGCTCCTCTGTGAGTGCCAGTGGATGGTTTGTTATGAACACACAGGAAATATAAAAGGCGTTGTTTTGAAATTATCTTTTTATTGTAGCTTTGAGTAAGCAGCAAGTGAGTGCTGGAAGAGTGATATATATATATTTTTAATACTCTCCTCAAAAATTTTCCAAAGTTGTAGAAAGTTAGGCTTAGCAAAATCTTCAGCACTTAAAATGTTTCAGAGAGCTATGCAATATACTGATGTATAAAAATGAACATAAAGCAATCTATTTTATAATGGAGACCTATTACTCTTTTCCTTCCAGCTATTAAACTCAGATTAACTGTACTGGCATCGTCCTCCTCCTTTGTAAAACAAACTAATTTAAGATGATACAAATAGAATTATCATAATAATGACAAAGTTTCAAAGTGTCATCCTAATTAATGCTACTTGAACCTAAGAAATACCTAATTATTTAATAAAGTTACCTAACCATGACATGTCCAGATGGTATATAGCAGCTACTAATGTGCCTGGCACAGAGTTGATGCTCAATAAATACTTGCTGAATGGATGAAAGGGACAGACTTGGCTTTGGTTGTGCATGTTTTAATCACTTTCTGATTTAGATAAGGTCAGTGTAGAACTAACTACTGCACGCTACCCCAAACACTACTGCAAACAAAAGTAGCAATTTCTAACAGAAAAATATTGCCTGTGCTAGTGATAGCGAACTTTACATATAAAGATTTTTAAATAGACCACAAATTTTACAACATTTGTTAATTTTTATTCACATACTTAAATTTGATGCTCTGATGTTCAGCAAGCCCTGGTAGGCAGACTAGCTAACTGCTTTACAGGAAAAATTATTAGCTATCAATGAGTAAAAGGTCCTGGTGCCTGATCAAATTCCAACAATGGTTACCATGTTAACTTTGGGAAACTATCAGTGAATAAAGAGCAGAATATCTTTACATTACACAGTTTTGAAAGCAGTAGTCAAGATTAACAGATAAACAGGTACATTTTAATTTAATAATGACAGCCAAAGTACTGAAGTAGAATAGGAAGGTGATCAATTCTATTTTCAATTCTAAATAGAGGACTATGTGTAGTATTTCTTTGGCATATGCATTACTGTCTTGGACTAGTTAGCATTTAAAAAATATTGAGTTATATTGTTTTGTCAGCCAAAATTACCATCGGAGTGTAGACTACTAGAATGCTCTTTTTAAAGCCTTTCAGCAAAAGATGCAGTGACGTTTTGCAGCATATGCTGAACCTCGTGTTCAGTGTATACGTGTAAGCACTGAGGGATACAACTTTTAAATAACTGGAAATGATATCATGCAATGGAGAAACACAGAAGGTGGGGGGATAAATTATTTACATAATGAAATACTCATCTTTTTGTAAAAACACAGAAAACTTGGGAATCCTGCCCTAACGGTAAATATGTACCGCATAGCACTGAATGAAAACTAGTTATATTAAAATTTAAGCAAACATCTACAGTAACCTGAATGTGTAAAATTTTTTAAATGGAAAATGATTCTACACATCTGAAGGAAAAGGTGGCCTATAAAACAGGCCAATCTAACTTGACATTCAAAGTAAATGCAAGAGATTCACAAAATCATGATAGCAATGCAAACTAAGTTCCAAGTACCCTTTGATACACAGCCATGTAACTATCAGACTCCTTTCCGATAGCATAACATATCGTCAATCTGCTCAGGCACGGGAAGGGGGAAAGCAGTCAATGCTATCTCAAGTCTCCAAAGTACAAGAACATACTTATATGCAGAAGCATCATGTGAACTTTGAAGTACAGTAATGTCTTGTTTTGATGGATGTGAATGTGAGATCTATCAGCACAAGATCATTATCCTCTGAATGTAGTACTTCCAAATTTTGTCTTTCCAGATAGCTTTTGGTGGTTTAGTTTTGCCAGTGCGATTTCAGTGGAAAAAAAAAAAAAAGTCAGCATAGACTACCTCACATTGTTACTCAATTGTGCTAGATACTCGCGCAGTTCTTTTGCAGCCTGGAATCTACCGTAGCGCTTCTTGGGATTGGCGCACTCATCCAGCAAGGCCTCCAGTCGGCCATCTTTGGCAATTTCACTTGGTGGATCATGAAGGAGCCCTCCGGAAGTGCCACGCCAGGTGGCATGTCTAGATAAGAGGTTCTGACAAACAGCATAATAATTGTGGTCCACAGTGACACGAGCACAGAGAATCTCTTTTGAAAATGATAAGCAAGCCTCCTTATCACAATCATCAAATTTGCTTTCATACCATACATCCCAGTTTTCAGGTTTATCTGTGAAAGGACAGAGAAAAATTTATTTGAATAAAAAATTTCTCCAAATAGAATACTCAACAATAAATACATACTATTTGTTCTATACTTTTATGCTTTTAAATGTATAAATTTAAGTGTTTCAATATATTGACTCATATAAACATACTGAGACCATCAATAAGAATCAAACAAGGTCCTTTCCATTTTATAGGTTTTGTCTACTGATTTTTCTATCTTCCAGAGAAAGGATCAAAAATGTGACTTGATGCTACAGGACTGGAGAGGATGCAGCACTTCTACATCAAGCGGCAGAAAGCTGAGGAGGAACATCTGACTCTAGATTTTCAAAGAGGACAAGCCTGAAGAAACGAAACACTGTAGTCCCCGGACACAGTATCTGCAGACATGCACTTAAGGGCTTGATCCACCTGCACAGACAATGAGACTGCGGCGAGGGCACCTGCAGGACCCTGCTCGGGAACAAGCAAGGCTAAAGAAACAAATTGGAACTGGTATGATCATTTGTTTCTTAGAAAGTTAACTTTGGGTTAAAGACAGGAGGAATTAAGATGATCACAGTGGGCCTGCAAGATGGCCCGCCGTTGGTAAACCCCAAGACCCATATGGTGGAAGGGGAGAACAGAATCCCACAAGTTGTCTTCTGGCCTCACACACACACACACACACACACACACACACACACACACACACACACACACACGAGCGCACGCAAAAGCAGGTCCAGAAAGAAAAGTCAGACTGGAGAAACATTTGATGATAAAGGGAAGGACACTGGTGAGTTGCCAAAGCAAACCCTCAACCCCTCAACTGCCCTATGAAGAAAACAGTAAGGTCATTTAGTATCAAGGACAGAGAAGAGGGTGAGTGACTAGATAAAGCCTAGGTCTGGAGGGACCTACCAGGAGAAGCTAAGAAGCACTGGGCAGAGAAAAAGCACTGGAGCGCACTGAATGAAGTGCAAACACATACAGGGCACGTGCACGTGGCTGAGCCTCTCTAAGGCCAGGACTTAGTTAATAAAACTAACAACTATTTGAGGGATGTCTGCGTAAAATGAAATACAAAATGTTTTCTAAGCAATGGAATAGACATTTTTAAAGTTTGGAAAGACAACACAACTCTATGAATTCACTAAACACTACTAAACTGTAAGAAAAGCACGACATACAATCCTACAACCTTCACAAAAACTATGAAGAGGTAAAGGGAACCAGGACCCTCAGCAGGTCATTCACTCACTGTGGGAGGACTCATGGCAAGTCAAGAAATAGTCAGAAAAGAGATTGGTGAGCACAGAATCCGAACAAGGTAGTGAGAAAATCAAGTGCTTAACAGGACCACACTAAGATCACATACAGAGCAGTAAACATACAGCCGCCACCTTAAATTGACAATTTCTTCAATTAATCAAAACTTCCTCGTATTCCTTATGTGAGAAGAGGAAGACATGGGATTAAAAAAAATGTAAGATCCTCACCAAGAAGCAACAATTCTTGGGTTCCTTTATTTGGCTGTGACAAGGTCTCAAGGTAGCCAAGGCTGGTCTGGAACTCTGGTGTGAATCCTAAACTGGCCTCAAACTTGTGATCCCCTGGCCTCCTCCCCCTCTAGTGTGCTGGGATTACAGGCATGTGCCCTATGCCTGGTTTCCGTTTGATTTCTTTTTCTAACCGTATTACTTCTAGAACATAAGACTTTACCTATCCTTGACCCTTTAAAATTCCTATGGTATTTAAATTTCAAAATACTTTAGATACTCTGCCTACATATCATGTGGGGAACTCACAAAAAATGGAGAGTAAAGCTTGGAGATGTAATAGTCATATTCAACTAAGGTTAGATCTGCAGTGTTAGAAATCACCCAAGTTAAAATAAAGCAAAACCATCTCTATAGGGACCTCAGAGAACAAAGAGCACAGAATGAGGCTATAGAGGCCCTACAGAGCAATGAAGCTTCCAACAGGGCTACAGTCTGATAACCTCTGACAAAAGAAACCTAACTCTGAAGCAGACTAAACCAGGGCTCCTCGACTTTTCCTACACACAACACACAACCTCTTTGCTAGAGAAATGTTTACACAACTCTGAACAAACATCATAAAGAAATTTATTCTAAAACAATTCTTTGGTATACACAGTCTTATCATTTATTAAAGATGAAAACAAGCTCTCACACTAATGAGATGGATATGATTTTTTTACAGAAGAAGTAACGTAGTTGAATGTCTGACACTGCAGGACACAGAGCATCTTCCAGTTTGCAGAACTGGTTGATATTTAGATTGTATAATAGTTGATGTTAAGGACACTGCTGTGTATAAATATAGTAGATGGTAGAAGTGTGTTTAGAGCCATTTCAGAAACTGTTGGCAATTCTGTCCTAATCCCAAGCCAAAATTCACTAAATGATTTCTTATGAAACTCAAGCCAGCAACTCAAATAGCAATTTTTAAAATCAAACATTCTAATACAATATAGTCCAAAGATATACTAATTTGATTCTTCATGCTGAGGAATGACTGCAGGAAAATAGCAAGTCTGTTTTCTACAATCCAGTCATGTTTCTATACTTTTAAAGTACAACAGAAACATTGCAATGTGTAAGCTACAACAGTCTCAGATCTGAGCTGAGGTGTTCCAGATAGCACTGGCTGGCATGTGATATGATGGCATGTCCACTGCACAACACACAGGGTACGTGTTCAGGGCCAAGGCTGCAGTGAGGTCACATCACATCACATGAACAGTGCTGACAGAAACACTCCAGCTTCATCATGTGCTTAATTTTTGAATTAGTTTTGGTTGCTGGAGAGGATAGACCCCTTTCACTGCTGATACTTTTTTTTTCCCCCCCCACAGTCACCAGATTTAATTATGTATCCTTTGTGGGGTTTTGAACCAAGTCAAGAAGCTGTGTCCTAAACCAACATGCAAAGACATGTGTATACATACACACAGAGTATGTTTGCACTCATTTAAACATAAGGATATTTTACTAGATATGGAGAAACTCTAAGAATACAAGTATAAATAATATTTTCTGATACTGGTTATACAAAACAAAATGACATAAAGATGCCATCTCAGAAAGGAACAAGATCTGTTTCGCATAAGCATTATTTTAACATAGAAAACATACAAAAAGCAAATCAGAACAACATTATATACTCACTTTGTCTAATTAACCTTTTGTCAGCAACTAAGACATTTTCTGCATCCACAATGATTACTTTCCCATCTCGAGGACCAACTGCAAAATTGTCAAAGCTGACATCCAGGAGGTAGAGTGCAAATTCAAAGTCATTGTTTGTAAGCTGTTCTGCTATTTCCATTAGCTGCCACGCCAGGTCCACTCTTTTCTCCCAAGGTGCATTAAAGTAACTCCACAGCTCCTCTCCAACGTAGTTTACAGCCACCATTCTTCCACAAGCTCCAAGATATTTTGCAAATGGCCAACCTTCATCAGATGGGAAACTCTACAAAAGAATTACCTTAATATTACAAGGGAATCTGACAAAGACATCCCAGGTCATCCCCAGGTTCCCCCATCAGAGACTTCTACCAGGAACAGTTTAAAAGGGAGAAACTTCATCTTTTCCCTAACTCATACCATTACTATGGACCTGGAAAAAAATGTAAAGAACTTTATACTTCACATTTAAAATATTTGACAGGGCTTGCTTATCAAAACCTCAAACTAATGTTATCAATACAGCAAGAGACACTGTTGTTACTGTCAGTTCTAAAAATATTTATACTTTCCATTATCTTTTTGACGTAAATTCAAGCAATTGATTATTTCTTTTGAATGGACAGAATGCAAATCTACTAACCACCAATTACTTGCCTGGTGACAAGATACTGCACTGTTGGTAATGAAAATGAACTAGACAGTCTTTGCATAGCCACAGGTTTTTACTTTAGAAGAACGGACACCGAACAAATCACTGAGCATGGTGTCCGTTACTAAAGTGTGATACAGGTCCCAGCATTTGCTGGGCAGCAACTAGTCCAGAAGCAGTTAAGAGGATTCAAGGAAGGACTGTGGGGCTTTAAACACATACCCAAAGGCTGGGGAAAGCACAAACTGACCCCATCAACAACCTCAGTTCTAACCATCTCTGTCTCCAGTTAAGTCCTGTTTTTCTTTCTATCTTGGCCCAGTCTCAGAATTATTTTCTCACATTAGTGAGGTTCTCTGGTGGGCTTTTTAATTACTGGGAACACCATCATTCTGAATCAAAAGAAATGTCTTCTATAACCATAAACAAGACATTTTTTGCATTAGTAAACTTGATCTCCCGCTCCAACTCAGGCTCCAACTCACGGTCCTGTCGGTGCCAGGCAGGCACTCTACTTGCTGAGCTACATCTCTGTACTACCAAAGATAATCTACTGCTAACACGTGCCATTACAAAATAAACTTGAGGGAAACAAAAGCATGGCAAGAGTTATTTTAAGCCTCACATATAAGACCTCAAGACCAGAGGCTTGAGCCACTCTCGCACTTCCAAGATGATACTTAACACAAGCACTAAAGGAGTAAGGGAGTAAAGGTGAACCAGGAAAACTGTAAAGTGTGACCTTAAAACACTGCAGAGAACCAATGCGGCCTACTTCTGGACTGAAAACCAACCTACACACATTTCAACAGCCAGAAATGTGGCTCTGCTTGCATCTGTTAAGAAAACAGGCAATATTAATTTTATCTTAAGCTTTAATTGTCAAAACAGAGTATCTCTACTCTGTTCAAAATTTTTATACTAAAACAAAACAGACCTTTAGGACTAAACCACACATAATTCCCAATCCTCACTTTGCTTCCTTTTAAGTTTGTAAGTGTACAACTATACTTTCCTTGGTATACAACTTTTTCTTTTTAAATTTAGTATTTTGTGACAAAACACTAATTATATGAAAAGACACCATGAATCTTTAACTACACTAAATAAAAGGATTCACTTTTAGCTCAGACATAATAGGTACTGATTCTTTAGAAATTAGAGGAAAGCATGTTTTTTTGTTTTGTTCTGTTTTGAGGAGGTTGGGGAGGGCATGCTTTTCATTCCTGAAAGAATTCTTTCTTCTTGGCACTTGAAAAGTGTGACAGACTGCTCATGTTGAATGGACAGTGTAGAATCTGTATACAAACCACAACATGATTTTCAACTTTTCTCTCAATTTAAAACATCTCACGACCTTATGTTTTTGTTAGACAAATGTTTACAAAAGATTTAACTATTTCCCAGACACTATGTATAAAGATCATGGTATAAAGTGAAACAATAGAAGTCAGTAAATGAGAAATTATATTACTTTTGTCATGTAAAAAGTCAAACAGGAAACACTTCCATACGATATATTATTCACATCCCATACTGCAGGACAGATACAAACATATCTGTGTGAAAATAAAACGGTCAGGTCATTGCACAATAGGAGAAGGGGAGCTCTGTCAGCATGTGCAAATGTACAGATGTTGTCTTGTTTTGGAGCCTTTCCAACTGGCAAAGGCAGTGACATCTACACTTCCTTACCAAGTCCCTCCTACAAGAAGTCAAAAATAGATGAAGAGATGTCAAGCTGAACAACCTTTATGTTAACAGTGACTTCTGACAGTTCTAACCAGAACCCTATGCCACGCTAGAACACCACCACAGCTGTCTTGTGCACTTTTACCTAACCTTTTAGAAAACCTGTTACAGATGAAGTCACACTATTTACTCTTATGACTATTTTTCGTTGTATAATTAAAATGGTCAAGACTTCGTTAATGAGGACAGAATTGTACTGAACACATCGTAGTACAAAAATAATGCTTGGGGAAGCCAAAATATTTGTAACTGCATTTAAAGCAAATCTGGCTTAAAATCAAATTATCATGGCCAAGCAGAGTCTAAGAAAGAAATTTTAATTCATTAAAGCTTGGATTTGATAAATACACGAAGTAATCTTAAAAACAACATCTTTCTGATTAGCAAACTCTTACAGGGTAGAAAGCACAGAACCAGGAGCTGTTTACCATAGAGGCCTGCGTTTTCTTAAAAATCTGAAAATCAGATATTCAAATTGTCTAGAGCAACCAGAGTTCCACATAATCTGAAGTAATATGATTATTTTATTGGACTATTTACAACTGAAAGAATATGCAAATATTTCCAAGTGAAGGAGTGAGTCTTTAAACTTAGATCAGTATCAATTCTAGTTCTATGAGAGGCATCCAACTTAGGTTTTCAAAACGTTTAGCCAGATTTTAATGTCATAAAGCATAATGTATAAAAAATTATTAAAGTAAATCCTAGTTAAGATCTCACAAGGACATAAAATAGTTATAAAACTACTTATTTTTCTCCCAGTGTACTTTAAAAAATTAAGTTACTGACAACACAAAGACAACTCTACAACCACAGAATAGCAATATAAACATAAAAATTGAAAACAGAATCTGGGCTGGCATGCAGCTCAGTGATAGTAGCAGTTGCATAGAATGTGTGAGGTTGGGGGGGGAGCAGGAAGGAGAGGGGAGGGAGGGAGAGAGAGAGAATGGGGAGGGGGAAGAGAGGAGAGTGAAAAGGGGGAGGGGGTGAGGGGGGAAGGGGAGGGGGTAGAAGAGTAGCAGAGAGAGGGAGACACAAATAGATTAATTAGATGGAATTAATCTAAACATGGTTAACTGCTAAAAATCTAAATATTATAAATGCCTTAATTATTAACTTGAAACATAAAATACTGTGATGAAGCATAACAGAAACTATTATGTCTAGGCTTTTTTACTTGGGGGCAATGAACTCATAAGCTATGTGAATATCATCAAACTCAAATGATGCTAGCAAGAATATCAGATGCACCGATAGTATCTAAAAGCCAGAGATTCAGAAACGAAAGCAAGGTCTACCTATGAACAACTATAGAGTTAATATACAATTTACAAGTCAGTATCATGGAAGGATTAGAAAATTTAGATACGTTACACTTTTCAGAGTATAGTATATAATCTTCAACAAGATTTCTACATTTAAAGAAGAGCCTGTGTAAGTAGAATATTGGACTTGAAATTCTAAGGCTAGATTCACAGGCTCACTTCAACCTCTACCTCTCACCAACTGAACACGTTGTTCCCTCTCCAGTCTCCAACACCTCAAGCCATGTCCTTCAATCATCTCACTGTAGTTTCATGAGCTGCTCCATTACGAAGAATACTTTCTTACTTTACCATAAACCTGGAATATACTTACTGCCTCATCCTCAGTCTGTCTAGTAATATACTCATGCATTATTTTTGCAACATAACTTTGCTTGTGGACTGCTGCTATGCATTAATAGCATGTGCATGATGCTAAGTTTCCAAAATCTGAGCAAACTCCTAACCAAATGAATAGTAGACTGAAAAGTGGAAGCAATTCTCCTTGAATCTATTCTGACTTTGCAAACAGAACTGACCTGACTTTGCCTTTTACTGGCAAATTAACTGTGCTGATGAGTCTAAATTAGATTTACTATTCAGGTAAACAAATCTGTATTTCTTCGAATTCATGTTTCTATCTACTGAACATTATAATACAATTATTCGGTTGTGGTTTGGGGAATGCAGGTTAATTAGGCATCTGGAATTTGCTTTGTGCATGTACCACATTTTTGTCTTACAGTCTCAACACCTCCTAACAGCACATTTTTGGAAAATGTGATAACAAATCTGTATAGTTCATAATAAATTAAAAGAAGTGAATACTTTCTAAATTAAATTCACAAAGTACACAGCACTTTTCCCTTTAATTCTTTGATTGTCTGATGAATATGATGGTACAAATATTCCAGTTTTATAAAGGTAGAAAGCAGAGCTCTCAAGGGATCCACTACTTTGCCATGAATGACAAGAAACTGACTGATTAAAGTAAGATAAACTCTGGAAATGCCTGCGTTCTATTACCTTTTCTCCTATGCAACCAAAGTTAGTTTCCTACACTAAATTTAAAAACACAAATTCCTTTCATGTAAGAAACACAATAGTTTATAATAATCATGAGTTCACAGCATTCCATGGAAAGATGCACAACTGCAAATCGTCTAAAAAGACAAAATGACTACACAAGAGTTGCCATACCACATTTGACTTTTTTTTAAAGGAGGAAATTTCTAATAATAAACTAACTTCAAAAACGTCCATTTCTAATCAAACACCGCCTAAAGTTTTACTATATAGCATTTCAGCACAGAAATACAAATTTTAAACAAGAAAATTTTGAGAAAGTATTATAAAAAGCATAGAAAATGTTTAAAGGTTCAATTTAAATTTTAAAATTATTTTAAAAGGCCAAATTTGAATGAAATCCTATTGTGGTAATACATGTTGTAACAGCTGTTCATAGAGATTAGTCAACTGTGCTGTGCTGGTGACAGACTAATGTGTTCACAGTTTTGTGAACTGTCTGGAGGGAGGATAGAGTAAGGTTACTAGGATGATTTAATGATTCCCTAA